CGAAGTTTCTCAAGAACCATTCGAGCCACAGAATTCGTTTTGGCATCGTTGGATAGAGAATTGAATGGGGGGGGTCATGACCCCCATGACCCCCCCTGGATCCACCCTTGTTTGTATGTTTTGAGCACTTGGCAACTCCCATTCTGCCACTGTTCAACGTTTATTTTTTTACTAAAAAACGGGGCGTCGCACGCAAAAACGCCAAGAGTGCATTTTACTTCCCGATTAATCATAGAATTGGAAACTGGCTTTTATTTTAGGAAGATTCAGGCGCCTGTCACTATTTTTTGGGAGAAATGTTGGGTTCCTGATTAGAGCACCTGCTGCAGCTCTTCAAATTTTATTTTTTTACTCGAAACCGAGGCGTCGCACGTAAAAACCTCCAGACGGCATTTTTCTTCCAAATTGATCATAGAATGGGAAACTTATTTTTAGTTTCGAAACAAAAATTTAAATTATCCGGTTAATATCAATATCCCTTGAGCAATTGGCAACGCGCATCCTGCATCTGTTCGACGTTTATTTTTTTTGCGCAAAAACCGCTCCTTGTGCGATAAAACGTCAAGAGACCTTTTCTCTTCCTAATTGATCAACAAAATCAAATTGTATTTTTAGTGTGAGAAAAATCAGCAGTTTGTCACTTTTTCTTAGGCAGAAGTGTCCGGTTAATATTCAGTTGCTTTGAGGGCTTGGTTGGGGCAACTGGCTGGCAAAGGAAGCGCCCCACAAAAATCTCAAGACGGGTTTTCCTTTCCTAATTGAGCATAAAACTGCACACCAATTTTTGGTTCAGGAAAACCCGCCACTTGTTGCAATGTTGTGAGCACTTGACAACTCCAACCCTGCAATCAACCAACTTTTATGTTTTTCCACACAAAACCCTTGGGGTTTTTGCGTCACCCGAAAAAACCCCAAGACACCTTTTCTCTTCCGACTGGACTACAAAATTTCCTGCTACTCCTTAGTTGGGGAAAAACCAGCCGCTTACCAATTTTTTGGTCAAACCAAGGTACGGTTGACCACCTCTAATCAGCTGCCTCCGATATGGTTGTATGGAAATGCTGCAAAAACGGCCAGCCACTATGCAAAACAAGCAACAAGAAAACAATTGGTTCGTGACGGTTTTCAGGCCTTCGGTGTTTGTTTTAGTTTGTTTTAAAATTCCGGAATTTCGACCGTCACGAAGCCAGCGGGGTCTCAGTTGCCCATGCTCGATCGCATGGGGCGAGGGCCTTCTTTCTAGCAGTTAAGCCGCTTCGCTTTGCATAACGGTGTGAATCTTCTCTATAAAGCTGCAATGAATCTGAAAGTTTTCCACATCCATCTTTACAAACCTTTCTTCAGTCCTTGTTGACCTGGTAAAACCTTTTCGCACCTTCTAAGTTTCACCAGGAATGCTGGAAATATCGCTGCCAATTTACACTTTTTCACATTGAAATGGGCTTTTTAACGGCCGTTGCGGACAAGCTATAAATAACGTGGCAGAACCAAACCGTCCATCATCTCGCCCAAGAGTGAGATAATGACCATTGTCTTTGTCGGGCTTTGGTTCCGAAGCCGCGTGGGTCGCATTCTTGGAAGAAGCCGATTATCAGTCGGGTTGTGTAAATAGCTGAAGATTAATACTTGGCTTCCTCCGGCCACAGTCCAACAAAAGAAGCTGAATATGCATGAGATGGGCACCCGCAATCACCACAAAATCTGGTACCTATGCTTAATTGAACGGTTGCTTCAGCCCTTTTCGCATTGGCGGCGTGAGGAAAGGCTCACCGGTTGAACATCACACTGTATCATCTGCATAGCGCGGCTCAATTCGGGGCTTTATTTTTTATTTTATATAAAATTACATGTGAAGGGACTTGGTCAATCTTACCGGCTAAAAGCCTAAATCTTCAAAGCTATATTTGGTTTGTCTAAAAGTCTTGCAGGAGCAGCATCAGCAAAGTTATCCTAAAGTCAACCGAGCATTGTTCACATGGGTCGAAATTCTTGGAATCTGCCTCTTCAGGTCTTTCGCTTGCAACCTTTTTGTTAGGCACTAAAGATACCAAAGGAGTTTGAGGAGAGGAGCTGAAAAGAAACTGAACTTGAGCTTTTTCTCTGGCCCACACCGATAACTTTTCATGGGTGTTAAAGTTAAACCTTGACTCGTTATGGGCAATTGTTGTATGGTCAGTTCAGGGGTACCGTGAATGTAAAGCAAACACATCAGCACGAGTTCCAAATTATTCACCAGCCAGACTAAACAATGAATGACCTCATGTTGATATGAATGTAAAGCGATCGTTTCAGTGGCACGATAAGAACGATTTTCCGCGTTGCATTTGAAAATCTGTTGGTTTCCCCCATTTGAACCAAGAACTTAAAAATACTTAAATTTACCTTGAAATGCACGGTAAAGGTATATGGATGTCCATCCTGCAGTGCGATTTCACTAACTCTTCTAGCGGTATCGAGACTTTTAACAACTCCCAGATAAGTGTGGGCTTCAAAATAATCTTCGCTAAGACTGGTCAGTTAACAGCGCAAGATAAGCAGGACACGCCCACCAATCAACTCAAAGTCCAGCAGATGAGGATCATGACCTCTACAGTTTACCAATCGATGATAAAAAAAGTCTATTGTGGTTTTAACCGGTTAATTGCGTCAAGTTTGCTCAATTTCTTGTGGAAAACTTGTTGTTTTTCCGATATGTTTGACCAAGGAAGAACCAGCAATAAATTCACTATTGGAAAACTAGAAAACAGCCACTTTTTCCGAAGTGTAGACAAGTTCGCAACTGGCATACAGAAAACCTACTCTGTTTGGTGATGAGGAACTGTTCCCTAACTTACTTCTCACAAGTTGAGCTCGCCCTAAACAGCTTATCACGCCAACTCTATGGGCTTTTAAATCGCTTTTGAGTTTCTGAAAAATGTTGATAACTGACCGAGTTACAGGGTAAAGAGTATGTGCAAGTTTGAGAGTTTTACGCTTGGCGTTTCAGAGCCCATTTCCTTCCAAACTGTTGCAAATGCCAATTTTCTTATAAACAGTGAATGTGTGGAGAACAATCTGATGTTCTATTTTGAAAACCAGTTAATCGAGGTAAACTTTTAAAGTATTTTGTTCGGAAAGTCATCTTTTCGATCTCCGAACTTCCAAGTTTTCCAACCGATTTCAATTTTCCCAGATGCATTTTTAACGAAAATCGTACCTTTTTTTAACAATTTTCAAAATTTCCAAATCGACTCGATCTCAACAGTTATGCACAAAATTTCTAAATACCAATGGCTGTTTTCCCAAAAAAAATGCTATCTTAAACCCACAGAGAAATCATTAATAACATTCGCCTTGAAAATCGTCTGTTCCACCTTCAAACTCTTATGACTTTCAAGTTTCTCAACCGATTTGAAGTTTGCAAAATACGATTTATAGACAAAATCACTCGCTTTAGAACGAATTTTCAATGATCCAAATCGGGGCCGTGTTAAGAGAGCTACTAATTTATTAACACCGAAGCATCTGATGCGCCATATAATTATAATAGCAGCCAAATATTGCCATCATACAAATTAGTTATTTTCTCAAATTATCTATGAAATTAGGAAAAAAATTAGTCGTCAAACTTATCCAACACCGCCTTGCTAAGCGTGAGTCAACCAAGAATGGTTGGTACCGTTCCAGTACACAATAGAGGGCAAACTCTCGGGGTGCGAACACAATCGATTTCTCTTTTTGTGGCTTGTTGATGGCAAAGGTTTTCACAAAAAAAGAGAAAGTTTGCATGAACTTAAGGAAACATTTTAAAACGAATATTGGCAAGGCAAAAGKCCTCAGTTGGACGTTTACTMCACTTGAGYCWYTTRWGSTKKCCCATGAGTGAGCTTKGCTGWGSWGGMYYATKWGCCTGAGMCYAATAAATGAACCAAAAAAAAAAAAATTGTCACCACTGAAAAGAAAAATTCCYKAATAATTTCGARGTTTTTGTKCATTTGTGTGTTTCTAACASTAATTGAGGTGGCACGTAACTTCTTCTTTATTGCAAATGTTGCATGTTTTYCAACTGGGAACGCTTTTGATTTATCGCCACTTCGACAGKGCAAAATAAGTTTGTTGCTGCGCTTTCTCTGTATGGAACTTTTCCATATTTTCGCCGCATACAAACTGGACGGAAAAATTACCATCAGTCTAGCCAGAACGATAGTGTTGAACGGTGGCAGCAAAACAACTTTACTGCCGCCACAGCCTTGTACGAAACACTGAAAATAAAACAAGCGCCGCTTTGATTGTAGGAATTTTTGCGAAATTTCAAATGGCTAATTTAATGGGTTTCCTGTTCGTCATTGGCCATTAATGGACGCCAATGGAATGAATTGCTGGCGGCCGCATAATCGCCACAAAGGCGTAAAACACTAAAACCAATGCAGGCTATTTACTAGAAATGGGTGCATCGATCTATACGGTTCAAATGTCGATTTGATTCGAGAGAAAATCAATTTTGCTATCAGTTGCAACAGCGGGTGAAAAAACTGCGCCCAAAAAAATTAGTGTTTGATTCCCAAATGAGTTTCACCAGATAGCGACTATTTCAACGGCCGTAAACCGTCAATTTAAAAAATTGAAAAAAATCTCGAATCTCCGTGGTCGAACACCTGAGGATGCGGGGTTATTTGCATAAACCGACGAAATATCAGGGAGGGATAAAAAAATTGAAAAAAACGGCCCCTCACTTCGGGTTTGACTTGCTAATTCCACCGCCCAGGCAGGTAGGCATTTGTCGATTGGAATAAGCCACTGTTAATTTTTACGATCTGACTAATTCCTTTGAAATCCTGTGGCACTAATTGGTGTTTCGCACCCTTCTTCTCGTATACCTGCTTCAAGCTTTTTTCTTTCGAATACAGTCGAAGAACTAATGAAACCTTATTAACATCCTCGTAGGGTCGATGATTAAGAATCAGTTTTAAAGCTCTTTTACACGAGACTTCGAACTTAACTCCAAAGAATATTCTAAATGGGAATTCCGCTAAGATTCTGGTGACGTTCGGACTCTTTTCAGAGCAGGACCAGAACTACTTGATGACGAAGCTGTAACTTTCCGAGCCGAATTAATCAAGAAGCTATTAAAAATTAAGAAACCGACTATTTTCATACCTTTTTGACGGCTCCTTTAGCTCATTAACACGCATATTAAGCATCCCGCATTCACAACAGGTAGAACAGATAACAAAGAACGTTGGTAGAAAGAGGGTAAATAGCTGCGAAGCGTTTTGCACCAACGATTGGAAAGAGAAACTCGAAACTTTCTTCCCTATTTGGTTAATCTATGGTCAAACCCGATAAGAAAGTTTGTTCTAATTTTTGTGTCTAATAAACGAGCTCCTGTAGGTTCTTGTGATTTTTAGTCGACATTTTTTTTACAGAAGAAATTGAGGTAATTTTATTATTTGGAATTTTGCCCAGGGAAGAACAAAAGCCATCAATATCACCTCAAGTAAGTGAGTAAATTGGCACGTTTCTCCTAAAAAAACATACATTTTTTTGGTGAGCACCTCACATTAGAATTTTTTTCTCCTACAGTGCTCTTATTAGCCAAAAAATGTATTCGTTATAAAATGTCACCGATGGTAGCAAGTCTGGAGTGGCAAAGTTTTCGAAATGGTTCGATAAACACCACGAGAAAGAGCGGTTAAAAATGCATTGGAAAATTGCTAATATTTTTTCTAAAAATGCCTAATAAACGAGCCACCGCAGGTTTTATGATTTTTGCCCAAAATTGACCCATTTTTGATCGGTGGAATGGAGACCAGTTTTTAATTTGTAAATTCTTACAAGATCTAAAGTCATCAATATCGCCCGAAAAAACTGAAGACATTTTGAAAGCAGGTCAACCACACGAATTCCTTGTCTATACAGAACGCCCTGGAAAGAAAATCTCCTAAAAATTTGTATTTTTGCCCACAATTCCAAAAACCCAAACTTAAAAATTTATCTGAAAAAGCACATTTTTCTTCTAAAGTGTTCATCAGCGAAAAAAGTCATTCTTTAAAAAATGTCCAGGATGGTAGGTTTAAAGTGGCAATATTTCCAAAATTATTTGATAAACGGTGTGCGCAAAAAATCCAAAATCGCTGTTTTAAAAAAAGCTAAAAAATCTCCTGAACTGAAAACTATGGACAAATTTTGAGCATTTCACTAGAAAGAGCGGTCAAAAATGCTTGGAAATGCCCTAATCATTTTTCCCTAAAGTGCCTAATAAACGTGCCACTGCAGGTTTTCTCGTTTTTACCCAATTCAGAAGAAAATTTTCGAAAATTGCCCAATTTTTAATGGAATACAGAAACTGTAAAGGCACTAATTTCACTGGGAAAGAAACCTTCGAAAAAAACAGTTTTTTTCAACAATTCTTACAATTTTGCTCAAGAATCACATTTTATTTTTTGTTTTCTAAGTAAGTGTTCTACAGGAAAAGTTTTTTTTAAACTCGAGGATTTCAGCAGGCGTGCTTTTCAAAACCTTCTGAAAAGCGGATTGAGCGAAAAATCCAAAAATGTTGTATTGGAAGAACTTCAAATATCTCCTAAACTATGACGCATCGACAAATTTTTAAAACCCAGTGAAATCAGGAGCTCAATGCGCATAGAAAAGTTGGTTTTCATTTTTCCCAGAAAGCTTTTCGAGGGATTTTTCGCCTCGTAAGCGGGCAACTTTCAATTTTTCCGATTTTAGGCCAAAATTTAGCAACATTTTTCGAAACTTGCCCAATTTTTTACACATTAGGTTTAGAGCAATTTTTCATTTGGCCGGACTGAGGGATTGGGAAGGTTCAAAACCAATATCGTCCAAAATAATTGAAGACATTTTGAAAATCTGCCATCCTCAGGCTTCAGGGTCCCACCCGCAATTTATATGGGGTTTAAATGAGAAATTGCACTCTTCAAAACCCCAAATTTGCCCCTCATTTGCGCAAAATCGCTGAGGATAGTTGAAAAAAGTTTAGTGTGTGCAACTGCGGGTTTGGGAGTTTTAGAGATGCATCAAGGTTGGGCTCCCAAACATTTTTTCTCCCAAACAAAGCCCTGCTTGCTGAGCCTGACCAAAGGCACCAAGCAGCGATTTTATAAATCCTCCCTTAGATAGTTTTGACGCAAATGCCCACAATGTATTTTCCAAAAAACGGAAATATTTCCTGGACCACAAACAGCACATCAATGACCTGCACACCACGAGATAGAACAGATTAAAATACATAAGTCTTTGTTTCACTGTTGCCCTAAATACACTAATAAGCAATTTTTTGAAGGTTTTTTTGATCTTGCCCCAAATTTTGCTAAAGCACGCCACTGTTTGGAATAGAGACATTTTTCAAGACAGAGACAAAGAAAATGATTGTTTGAGCGTCTAAACCCCAAAAATCCCCCAAGTGAGCAGAACCTGCCGGAAATTTTATAGTTCAAAGTAGGTACTTCAGAAACATCTTCACTTGATTACCTCGAATTTTACTTCTTCCTTGAAAGCAAATTCTTTACAAGGGCGGATACAGGGGGGGTCATGGGGATCATGACCCCCCCCCCATTAAATTCTCTATCCAACGATGCCAAAACGAATTCTCTGGCTCGAATTGGCTGCTGATTATTTATTTAGTTGAAAAAGTTCTAGATATCTAAAAATGCTGTAGTATGGAGCAATCTTCAGTCCTTAAGTGTTCGGTAGCCGTTGGCGCAACCAGTTTTCCTCCGCAGCTCTTCTTCGCGGGCTCAGGTATATGTTCATCTTCACACTGAAATTAATCACCCCTTTGTTCCATTAGGGCTTGCCAAACAAATTGAAAAAATCAAAGCCATTCTTTTTATTAGAAACCTGTCCCGTGAATTGAAAGCCAAATTATACCCAGCACTTTTTTTCTTCGTTAGTCCGCGGGAATTAGCACTTTGTATTATATGGTTTTTATTGCGGCTTTATGGTGGTTGAGTTCATTTTCGCGTCGCTTTTTAGTGGCCCTGAATCAATTCCGGGGATATGCAAACGACTAACCGGAATACCTGCTTAGAGATAATCCACTTAGTTTTTTCCCCTGATTAGGGTAAGGAGTTTTTATGCGATTTTATCATTAACCATCAGGTGCAGTCGTAACGGTTGCATGCAAATGCGCCCCTTTTCCAAGAGATTTTTTCGCTGCTGATGGAAGCAAAACTGTGCACTTTTTTCGCAATCAGGTGCCAAGAATAGAAACAGGCCCATATTTAAGTAAACAATTAAACATTTGGGTTGCATCAACCAGTTGTTTATAACTCAGCCAACATGTTGGTAGCATTTGGACAATTTTTGCGACCCGAACAAGTTTGTTTAGTTTGCTGCCACTGGTCGTATTTCGTCGTTCCCTTGTAAACAATTGCCTTTTCTTATGTGCCGACCAAGGAAAACATTTTTTCGGGGCTTTTAAATAACGTGTCAACTCGTGTTTACACTGTGGATCAAAATGGGCTTTGGGAAGTTGGTCGAATGTGGTGGAAGGCACCGTTGGGAAAAGTGTTGCAACTTAAGAAAAGTCAATTAATATCTTTCAGTCTTCATCTGATCATTCATAAGACCGAAGTCTGAAATTTTATAATAGACTCATACCCACAACCACAAAAGCCGATTGAAAGGTTTCCAATACAGCATACAGCCGCTTATTCTGTAATTCCCAATACACACAGTCCAAAAATCTCCGAACCCTGCTTGGGGTAATAAATTTCAAACGCCGTTTAGAACCATGGTCCATGTTATTAAGGTAAAATTGATGTTTTCACAGCTTTTAACTTTCTTGGATTTTGCCATCCCTAATATCAGAGGCGCACCAGCTTTGAACCTTATCTGCTCTGATTTGTGGTTTATTTTTACTTTTTGCGATAATTTTGTTCCTGGCTGTTTCTGCTTTTAAACCACAGAAAAGTGAAATCGGGAAAACCTGTGAAAATTTGAGCGTTATTCCGAATTTGATGCAGAAAATGACCTGATCATGCATCAAAAATCGCTAGAAGACTTTTTGCCATTTTGCATTTGAGGCGATTTCTCAATAAATTGGCCAGATATCACAACGCGTTCTTCAATATTCTTTAAAGAAAGCCGGTTTTTGCTGTGTGAACTTCAACCGAATCCATCTAGCGGTTTTTTCGGAACACACTATTAAACTTTGGACAATTTTTTGAGTTTTTGCGATTTTTGCACTATCGTCTTTTTCATTTCAAATTGCCATCAGCTCAAACTTAATTGCAACAACAAATGACAAGGAAGCAAAATTGAAACCAAACTAAACAAACAGATGAAAAAACGTTCGTATTATGCTCGTATGCTACGCCAATGTGCAGAGCATCGGTGCTGCCGGCTCCTTTTGAAAAATCGGAAGTTCGGGCAAATCAGGTAAAAATGGCCGTAAATATTTGAGTTACTTGAGGAGAAGCAGGTGAACTAACTCCAACTCTTTCTCACAACGGGAAAATTACAATGGACATGCTTAACTTCGGTTTAAGTGATTACTTCGGACCACCGGGCTTTTGTGTTTGACAAATATCTGCGAGATTTTAGGGCTTAAATGGACAAACTGCAAGGTTTTTGATTTTAGCGCTGTTGTTTATCTAACCTGATTTCTAACACCTTTGAGAATGCAAACGTCTCTTAGAAGCAGGCGAAATATCAGGAAGGGATTCTTTGCCACGACAGCCTAAAAGCCCGTAAGCCCACCAGCTTTTGGAACGCAATTAATGGAAAGGTTTCTTCTTGTGCAAATGCTGATTTCAGATTTTTATTTACTTGGAAGGTCAAGTGGAATCGCAAGTAAAATTGTTTAGAACGGAAGACAGAAAAATTGCCAAGTCAAGTCAACAGCAATTTTCCCCTGCTAACTTATCACTTTTCTTCTAAGTGTAGGTTTGAAGCTTGTAAATCAAGAACAGATGAGTCTTTTTTTAGAAAATACGTAAACAAAGCGGTCAACTGAGTTACTGTTAAATTTATCTAAAACCAGGGAATTTTGCACAATTCATCCTTTATTATATACAGCATGATCCATTAATGCTGCTCGTCAAATGTACCAAAATCTCTGGAAACTTTTATTGAAGATTTTGACTTATTTTGTACTTGTAACGTCTATGAGAAACTTTTGGCCATTAATGGCTTGCCCAACAAGTGGCCGTGTAAATAAAACAGACGCAAATTAAGAAAAATAATGTTCAATCATGTAAACACTAGTTTATCAAAGCCGTGGCAGGTGCAGTTAGGCCGGATTGTATTAATCCGAGATGGGTGTGCATATTTTTAACGCGAAAGGTGATGCCCAAGATATTAGGACTCAAGTCGAAAAATCCGAGCCAACCGCTCATTACAAGCGCTGAAAGCCCGTAATTTGCCGAGCTTCGGTTCTGGTGTAATTTCGGGTGTTAAAACCAAAAAAGTAAAATTAAACCGATGCATATTGGTTTTGGGTTTCGATCTACCAGAGAAGTCCACGGCGGCATCTAATGGGTTTCCACTTTTTTTTTTGAAGACAAAAAATTTCGGAGGTTTTTCAGTTTTCAAACTGAGCGCACCGATTAAATAGAGTTTGCATTCAGGAACGCATCTGGCCTCGGTTAACGCACTCGCACACATGGGATTGTACGGGAGACGCCGACGGACTGCCAGCTGCTACGTTCCAAATTGACTCATTTGCGGCTAAAATATCCAAGTTTTATTTGCAGTATTAGACAAGTAAAATCACATATAGTAAACTGTATTTTGCTTTCCAACAAACACCCTGTAGAATGATTAAAAACTTGATGATTTTCTGGTTATTAGTAAGTGTAATAACCAGAAAATCAGCGAAATAGTTGACTTTTCCCAACTGTTTCTTTCCCACCGTTGCAAATCTCGCCTGGCCATCAATCTCTTAATGGGAGTTGCAACTGCAACGGTCTGATATCGAGCCCCTATCAAAAATCGAAGGGTTAAAAATCAATTTATTAGCGCACCCTCATCAATGGAATTAAATTTTTCAAATATGAATAATCATGAGTTGCAAATTTATGCATGACCGACAATCGAAAGGGTTCACTTATTGAAAACGATCATTAAAAAAGCGACCAGGGTTCGATATGCGTCAGTCAGTCGGGTAACGTATCGCTTTTTAAAAATTGGGCTGGATTCTTATTATTACTTTTTTGCATTCAATTTTTCGCACCATCATCTTCAGGTGTGACAAGAATGGGGCACGGTTACAATGTAATTGAAGATCGTTTCTTCCGAGCCGAGAGTTTCAGTTTTCATGCAGGGAAAAGTGTGCTGATGTGTAATGGAGTTCGTTACGGTACAAAGAGGCCTTCAATTAAACAAAGACTTGGAAAAATGCCCTTAAAACTGCACAGTTAATGATGAAACACGCGGCATTAGTTGTCTTATAAACACCCATCACTCGATCATTTTATAACATCGGCGTTTGTACCTGCCTGGTTCGGATATGTTATTACTGGCCATCTACAAAGATGCGAAAATAATCACTTTGAAAAAGTTGTTCTAGACCTTAATAGATCTAAGGCGATAATGATACGTTACACGCTCATATGTTTCACAGCTCGGAAATTTGCTAGTGTCGACCCAAAGAAGAAAAGAAACCATCCTAATTGAAGACTGAAGAACGTGGAATTTGTGGTAAATGTAGGGCAGGCTGTTAGCACGTATCACATTAGAAATAGGCTTGAAAATTGCCGGGTTTTGGGACAGATGCTGAAGGAAATTGATTATTTCAAATTCAACAACTCAGAGTTTTAGTGGAAATTCTTGGAGACAAACAACAGCAAATTTACCTGATCGGGATTGAATTTGTTAAACGCAATTTTAAACCGCAAGAAATTGAAAGAAAATGCCATCATTTCAATGGGGAACAGCCTGTTAAATCCAGAGCAAGAAAACCTAGAACTGGCACAGAGGACAGTTCAAGTGCGACTCAAAAAGGCAGAAAAAATGGTGTAGAAGCTCAAACCAACAACTTTTTCAAGGCAAAAATGACAGGAAGAACTTAGTAAAGAAGGTGAATGCAAATTTTCCGCAGGGACTGGGAAGTAGGGATTGGAAAGTTGATGAATTGCATAACAAGGCTGAAAAAGAAAAAGTTGAATTCGAGAACTGAACTTTTCACTCTGTGACTAAAGTTACTTAATATAATTCCAAAAAACTCTTTATTAACGATAACAAGTTTATTAAACCCGTTAAATAAACTCGATGGATCTTCAACTAAAACTCTCGAAACGATTGACTGCCTTTCAATCATACATAAAAAGCCATGTGAAGTCTACTGCTGCATAAGGATGGATCAAAAAACAGTCTCTATCTAACTAATTTAGTGCTGACTATCAGTAGTTATAAAGTGCATCATCTCGATCAGGCCTTGTATATTTTCCTGGCCCCCAGAAACTTTATTTTCACGCAACACTCTAAAGTTGCTTAATTCCTTCCTGTACGCCCGTCGGAAATTCAATGTCTGGAAAAAACTGCTGCTGAGCAACTGAAGACAATTCCATATCAATTGGTTTGGTGTCGTCGTACAAAGATGGTGCTTCACATAGAATGGACACAGTGCCTACTAGAGACGTGATAATGAAGATCCAGAGGAACATTCGGTCTAACACCATGGCGACGAAGCCCCAGTCTTGATCCTCCTGCAAAAGTGTGAAGAGTCACGAGGGTTTCTTCGGGAGGAAAGCAAGTTTTACCGCGTTAAATTGATCCTGCCTCTGGATGTGGTGCTGGATGAACATCACATTGTGGATGGCTTTCTCCAGTTCAAATGGGTACTTTTTCCGGTTGCCAGAATCGCTCTCGTCCAGTGTGGAAAACACCGAAGGCAACCCGTTGTAGGCCAATTGAGAGTGGAAGTTACTAGTAAATCCTCTGAGTCTAGAATGGAAATAACTGTACCATTAAATACGCAGTGTTTCCAGCGGTGCAACTTCAAACTTACCTATTGGTAGTGGATGAATGTAAGCCGTTACAGCCTCTACCTCTATTTCGGCTAGAGCTAGAAGAAGTCGAACTAGACCCAGGTGAACTTCGGCCAGTTTTCCCTTCGATTCGCATGGGGGGAATTTTCCGGGCCGCCAGTTCAGTAAGCAAATCCTTCGGCACCCGCATCAGCAACAGCTTGGGTACCGATTTAATGAAGAAACTCCGAACCCACGGGGCCATTTTATGCGTGCTCGGCTTCCGATAGTGAACGTTCAATATTATTATTGTGATCACAACGGAAAAACCCACCATCACCATAGTGAATAGTATATATTTCCCTGCAACCAGCAGAAGAAAGTGCTTGCCGACCAGCCTTTTTTGGTACTCACCCAGTAACGGTAAGGCCAAGGACGTTGAAGGAATAATTTCGGAGATGAGCAGGAAGAACATCGTTTGCGACAGCAAAATGTTGATGCACAGGGCAATTTTCTCTCCGGAATCCGCTGGCAAGTAGAACACCAACACAGAAAGATACGAAATTCCCACGCAAGGAACGATCAAATTCACTGTGTAGAACAACGTTTTCCTTCGAAGGGTGATGTTGAAGAAAATGTCTGGAAAATGTCCAGGATGCCAATAAACAGTTTCAAAGGATGAAAATTCCATCAGGAAATTTACCTATTTGAGATTTTTCAACGAATAAACAAGTAGATTACCGAAAAAAATGGGCCTTGGTAAGTTTGTCGGGCTTTCAAACCGTGGTGGAAAACAACCCGAAAACCAAGCAATTTAATCTTCATTGTGTTTTTCGGGCTTTTAGGCCGTCGTGGAAAATAAATTCGTAGTTTTCAGGTCTGAACTCCCCAGTTTCACACCGCCAATT